TCAATGTTGCTGTTTGGAAAAAAATTTGCTTTCATATTTCTTAGAATCCCCAAATTTCCAAAGTTGCCGAATTGCCTGAAGTGCAGCATATGTTCTTAAATTTAAAAGAGTCAGTAATATATATAAATAATCTCTTTCTCTGGATGTGCAATATTATCCTTTTAATTGATAATGCTAAATGGACTACATTATATTTTAAAGTGGGAAAAGCTACTATTTTAAAACTTCTAGAATGTTTCTATTTCATCATTGAAAGAAAAATTTGATACTAAAGATATTACTTCAAAATTATAAACATATTATAAAAATACCATATCAGTAAACTAATTATAGTTTTGTAAGGCTCAAATACAATCAAATAGCCTCATTTATTCTATCCCTACATAGAGCAATGAACATCAAATTTGACCTATGTTTGGGTCCTATTTCATCCAGGTAGAGTGTATGTGGTCAAGTCACTTATCTTAAATTTAGTTCTTTGATAAATAATCTGAGTCTAATAACACATATCTATAAGTGCTATTATTACACAAACATACATACAAATGTGAATACACTATTTTTGAAGTTAATAAGCAGAATTCAGAATTAATATGTCAACAATTATCAAAGATAATTCTGACTTTTTAAAATCTCTAGTTGTGTATGCTAAGACATACACGTTCTCCAAGACAGCCATCTTGGAGAAATAGAAGAAGAGACAGAAGGCATAGATTTGGAAAGTGCACATATTTAATTCAAGTAAAATAAATTACTGGGTATCTTTAGTCTATTTCCTGACCAAGTTGAAATCACAGAAAAGGCTTTGGGTAATCACAAATAAATCAGTGCTTTATATTGGAATTTAATCCCCTGAATTATGTTATAAGATTGCAGTTATATCAGTTACAGAAGATGACAAAGAAATTAAATTTTCCATAGTTATTTTAATAACACTGATACAAAATAAATTTCAATTTAAACATACAAAATAGTTTTGATATACAGTACATTTTATGACTGATAATAATAATCTAACATAAAACTAGATGATTAAATAAGCCATAAACTTTCTAATCAATACTCAAATGTAGGTATTTTTTTTTATTTCGGCATATTATGGGGGTACAGATTTTAAGATTTCAATAAATGCCATTTTCCCCCTCTCCCCCCACAAGTCTGAGTTTCCAGCATGGCCATCCCTCAGATGGTGCACATGTCACTCATTATGTATGTATATACCCGCCCCCCTCTCCCCTAGGTATTTTTAACAGATTCAATTATTGGTATTGTTGTGAGCAAACTTCCAAATCTAGGAAGTAAAACAAAGAACACACATATCTAGCCAAAAAAGTTCCATGAATTATTTAATTATTATCAGTGTAGTTTTTTGCATTTTTAACTTTGTGTGAATTTTACATTTGTTGTGTGTGCATTTGCATATCCTCAAGAAACACAGAGCATGCTAAAATATAAATATTTTTAAATCATCTATATATAGGTTGTTCATTCTTCTATCCAACCACTGAGGAAACAAAGATTTTTCTAAGTATCGATTTGTAATGAACATATGTCCATTTTCCATGGGGAAAACAAAAACAAAATGTTAACTCTTTGTGTCTCAAAGTCCAGAAGACAAGGAAAATTTAATAATACTGAGTAAAATCTAGTATAATAAAAGCTATTACACACATACACATACACATATACAAATACACACCATATATACTGTGGGACAAAGAAAAGTACAATTTAAACTTTGTAACATGAAAGTCTTTAGAGAAGAAAAAATGTACTTGAAATAGATTTTTAAATCTAACAAGAGGATTTTTAAGCACTTAAGACAATCTTTTACTCCAGTAGGAAGAAAATACCAGGTGTCAAGACAAAGAAGAGGAGCATGTGGTCTGAGATGGGTGAGATAGGAAAAGCTATGTAGTTGAAGACAAAGGCAGAGACTACATCATGAAATACTTTACAATTTTATCTAATAAGTTTGTAGTTTATGCCATAGTTAGTAAAGCACCCCTTATTGAGGAAATGAGTGCATTTGGGTAACAAAATCTGATTTTCCTTTTCGCAAATTCATTATGACAGCAGTAGGTCTAATGAATTGAGGATGAGTACAGTTGAGGTAAGGAGGTAAACTAGGAGGTTACCACAGATTTATATTATACAAAACATGATGAAGACCTAAACTAAATCAGTGAAGTAAAGATGAAGAAGAAAATATAGTGAAAAATTGGTAAGATACATTAATCTATTGCATGCAAAGTCAGGACAGGAAAGAAAAAGGAAAGTTCACAGATGGCTCTATGATTTCAGGTTTGAATAGGTAGTTGGGGTTTTGTTTGTTTGTTTGTTTTTTATTTTATTTCAAGAAAATATGAGAGTACAAACATTTTGGTTGCTTTTATATCTTTGCCTCTCCCTAGCAAGGTTTAGAGATATGCCCTTCCCCTCCACAATGCTCACTGCATTCCTCAGATGTGAGTCTCCTCCCCTAACCCCAGAATCCCTGTTGAACACCACTACCATTTGAGCACCATAGTGTTAATCAGTATCAATTTGATGGCGAGTGAATGTGGAGCCCATTCTTCATATCTTGTGTCACCTCACTTTGGATAATGGGCTCAAGCTCAATCCAGGATAATATAAGCAGCGCTAGCTCACTGTCATTTCTTAAAATTGAGTAATATTCCATTGTGAACATATACCAAATTTTAATAATCCACTTAAAATCTTTGACAATATTGTTAAATATCATCGTGCAATATTTAGATTGGTTTACAATCTAAATAAGGCTTAAATAAAGGCTAAAACATTTCTATAATTTAATTGATGATGCCATCAAAGACACAAAGTGTGCAAAGCTTCATTTTAATGGGTATGTATATTTGTGTGTGTATAGAAGCTGTAGTATATAGCTTAGTATATTAGGTTGGTAAAATATTACAAATTATTTGAATATAACATTAATTTTGTGTATATATATCCAATTCCAACTATATTTACACTTATACATTTAATTCTTTACCATGACCAAGTGATACACAAACATTTGTATTAATATTTTTATCTCCCTAAAAGCATATCATTGTAATCTTCAAGGCTGAAATTTTAATTATGTAGAATGACACTCAATAATCCTTAGATGTTTCACCATAAGAATTAACTTCTAAAAGTTTTTCTTAGAGTACATGAATTAGATGAAAGTATAACTACCTTAAGGATTAATCTAACTAACTTTCTATCATCAATATTTTCAGATGAAACAACTGTTGAGACTAGTTTAAACCACACATCTTTTCAGTGCTTGCAAAGTTCTTTGGAAAATAGAGCTAATCAATGAACAGTTGTCCCTATACTTTTTGTATATACACAAGAAAACTTGGGATTGAAAGGGAATGAAATTAATTTAGAGGAATCATTTAATCTAAATGAAAAGTCACATTTCAAAGACATGAAACTTGATTTTCATAACTATATGAATTAAATAGAGATCTACTGACATGATTACTTGTAAAGTACTAATAGTTTTACTACATGCTGTTGCTTCTTCTGAAGTTTTATGACCTGGGTTTTATGTGGTCTCTAATATCCCTATGGCCCCATATATTGTGGGCAAGAAATGTCAACAAATATTCTGTATAAATCATATGTTCATCATCATCATTATTACTGTATTTTTGTTAAACTCCTATTTCTTGGTTGACGTCTTTTGGGTCATTGTGACAAAAAAGAGTTTATTGTAAGATGAAAGTGCAAGCAATCAGTGAAATAATTAGTTGTAAATATTTAGCATAAAATAGATGACAAAAACAGCTAGAGAAAGGGCATTATGGTTGCATACATGCTATGGCATGACTCTTTAGCCATGACTCCATTACCTACATATATTTCATATACACATACTTTCTTATATTTTATATGGCTCCTACTAAGTGGAGCCTTAGCAATTTGAAACTTCCAGATGATGGGACAGGCCAAGGCACACCGGCTTGGACATCAAGTGCCCAGTAAGGGCACTAGTGTCAAATATTTCTATCATCATTACTTGAGACTAAATGAAGGTAGCTATCTGTGCTGCTTGTGTCTGAGAGCACTTTGTTTTTATCAAGTGTGCAGTATGGCGAGTAGCTAGTTACCTTGTCTCTGGAAAGGATAAAGAAAAGAGAGAAGTGTTGAAAATAATCTTTTTCCCCCAGATTAATCACATGTTAAAATGAATATTGTATTTACTTAATTTGTTATTACATACAAGTAGATGACACCATTGCAGAACCTGGAGACAAAAAAATGAAAGTTCACCAAACCTTGATTATTTTAAGGCAATGAAAAATGGTAAGACTTTCTAAAAATGAAAAATATTTGGAAAATTTTTGTACAAATACAGATGAAATTATAGTACCTCTAATTCCTAGGCTCACTCAAGTGATCCACCTGCCTCAGCTTCCTGAGTAGCCACTAGCTGAGACCACAGGCATGCATGTGGCTAGCTAAATATGCTATTTTCTAATGTCTAAAACTGTGCTGTCCATTACAGTAGCCATTAAACACAAGGAACAATTGAACAATTGAAATATGACTAGTCAGAATTGAGATGTACTATAAGTATAAAATACACATCATATTTGGAAGACTTGGTACAAGAAAAATAATGTAAAATATCCTACTTTTTAAAGTAATTATAAGTTTAAATGACATTTTAGATATATCATACTAAAAATATATTATTGAAGTTAATTTTATTCTTTTCAATAGCTACTAGAACATTTAAAATTACATATAAAAAGTTCACATTATATTTTCATTATATTGTAGTAGTCTAGGATGTATATGAGTTTAAATCTTTGTGTTATAAAGAAATTGTTTTCTTAGAAAAAATAATTAAAATTCCTGAAAGTCGCAAATCAAGTCAATTAAAATGCTAAATTTTTAAAACTACTGTAGCTGTATTTTGCTCTATTGTAATCCATATTCATCCAAACTGTTTACTGCTGCTTTTCTCCATTTTACAGCAACAAACCAGCAGGACTTTCTGTGAAATCATTGACCACCATATACTCCTTAAGTCTCCAGAGTTAACTCCTAATTCTCAGCACCTGAGAGCCAAAGTGAACCATCAGGAGCCACAGGTACTCACTGTCTTAGCCCTGCTGAACTGTCTGACAAAGACAGACTGGCATGGTAAGTGCAAATATTACCACTGACATGGTAAGTGGAAATATTTTAGAAGGGAGAGAAACAAGGTAATTGGTAGAGTCCAGCATTTTATTTCAACAGAAGTCAGATTTTAATGGGTGGAGGGTGGTGAGGAAATGAGAGAAAATATTGATGATAAGGAAGAATCCGCCAGGAACTCGTGGGAAAGAGCCAGCCAGAAAAGGAAGTTTGAGATTTGAGAAGAGGCCTGTGTATGAGTCTGAGAGAAGAGTTAGAGAGGGGTGGTTAGAAAAGAAAATCTGGGAGGTTTTGAGGAGAAGTCTATTGAGAGGGAGATGGAGAAAGGAAACTAGTATTTATAAAGTCATTTATAAAATATTTATGAAAGTATTTATAAAGTATTTATAAAGCTCTGTGCCAGCTACCTGCATATAATAGACTATTAAAAAATATACTATGATATTCATTTTTGCAGTGAAAAATTTAGGTTCAGAGAAATGAAATAATATGCCCCAGGACACACAACTATTAGGTAACAAAGGCAAATTTAGTATCCATTGATTAGTGGGTGAATATCCTTTTATAGTGTTACAGCTAGATTAAAGTGTGAATCTGCAAGAGTGGAAAATTGGCAAGTGACTTAGGGTAACCTGAGAAAACTTAAGTAATTTCAATGATAAAAGTGAATGTGTGATCTGGGTTGGGGAAGGGAGAAGGAAGGCTTAGGGAAGCCTTTGTACTTGGAACCATTCCTGGCAACTGTGAGAACACTATCACATCAAAAGAGAAGCAGGATAGTGATTAGCCTTGGAACTAGTAAAAGTTTTGAACTGACTACTTCCCTAGCATCCCACTATATTTCTAGTAAGTCTAGACCTTTTGGGTTTTTATATACATGCCCACAAGAAATGTAAGAATATTTAAACTTTAACTTCTTATAGATCTGATGGAAACACAATTAAAAGACTTTGGTGCAAGTTTTAGTAAGTTTATCTATAGAAATGAGGTACTACTCCAGCACGTAACTATACGATTTAGAGGTACCATGACATCAGAATTCCCAACTCTGTACTTCTCAATTATGCTCCTTAGAAATTATTTCATCCTCCTTTCACCCAGAACCTTCAAGGACTCAACGCCTTTTCTTCTGATATTCACATTCCCCTTGCCTCAGTAGACTCCTCCAACAATGGCTGTATGATAAATTGTTTTATATATGTCCTTGCCCGTACTCTGTTGGACTTAATCACTTAACCATCCAATCCATAAGTAGATGACAGAGTAGCTGCTGGGAGTGGGGCATAGGAGTAGGAGAAGTCGAAAATTTTATACTCTAAAAGGCTTGGTTCACCATAAATTTACAAAGTTCAAATATAATTTTTGTTCTTGCTGCTGTTTGGCAGGCTTTTTTCATTAACTGCTCTGGGCCTTCTCTATTCTGATTTTTCATTATGCTTCCTTCTTCTAGCTGTTAATCTTGCCTCTCATTTAGCCAAAATCAAGACACTTGGCCCATGCTTTCCCATTTAATCTTCTCATTTCAATCGATTACTGTCTCTACGTACAGATCTTTTTGTCCTTTCTTGATGTCTGTGGAAAAGAAAGGACCCTTTTTGTTTTCTTAAAAAGATAATTGTCATTATTTATTTTTCTTCTATTATTGTTAATTTGTCTTTTTCAATTGACTCCTTTTTATAAGCCTGATAATGGTTAATATTTTTTGTAAGTTTTGATAAATTGATAGAAATAATATATTATTGATCTTTAAGTTGGCATATTTCTTGAATTATGTGATTGAATATTTAAATGATTAGCAGTCATTTCATTTCTTACCAAATGAATTCTCTTTTGAAATATCATGCTCCTTTTTATTTATAAATTAGTATAAAACTTGCAATGATCTTTACCTGTTTGTGAAGTGATATTAAACATTTGTGGATAGTTGTGACAAAACACTTTTCAGTTTGTTTCCTCTTAGTTACATCTAGGAAATAGTAGACATTTAAAAAGTGTAATTTTGTACATTACATTAGTCACCATTTCCCTTTACAATATCTTTAAGTGCTTATATACTTAGAATTTGCTTTCTATATTTCAGATTAAGATATACAGTCATGCATTGCTTAATGCTAGGGATACTTTTCTGAGAAATGCATCTTTAGGTGATTTTCTTGTTATTGGAACATCACATAATATATTTACACAAACTTAGATGGTGGTCTTCCAACATGAAGGTATACCCCAGGGATGGGGAACTTAATGCAGCCTTCCAACATGAAAAGGTTCCCCACCCCTGGGCTATACCTTCATGTTGGAAGACCACATTAATTTAGCTGTAATTAAATATAGTCACATTCAAGAAACTTCAATTAGATATACTTAAAAATGTACATAATTTTGTAAAAATCTAACCACTATGTACTTACTAATTTCAAGAAATGAAAACTATTTGTTAAAGTTAACTGACCTTTTAATGACTTTGTTGTGTCTACTTTTGTTGAAAAGCATTTAAATATTTGGTTGCAGCATGCACGTCTGCAGTTTCAGTTGGTCCTCTGGGTGAGTAACAGTCATTTGTGACCTTAAGGGTGCCTTGATTTGGGATAAGTAGGAGAATGCAGATTCACAACAATAAGTGGTTGAAAAATAAGGAAGTGTTTTTTGGGCATGTTGTCCAAAGGCGTGGGAATTCTTTATTTTTCCATGTTTCAATCAGATCTCTCTTAGCATCAAACAATGACTTTAAAATGTCATCTACTGAGAACTCAATCAATTCCATCTGTAGTTCTTTAGGTGCCTTGGTAATATCAACTAGGTGAGGAGCTGAAATGCTAATTTGAGTGTGATGTCATGATTCCAAAGTCAGTGAACCTTTCATTGTATTCTTCGATTAATAGGTCTATAGCAGCTGTGCATTCTTCAAATGATTTACATATATTATCCTGCTCATCAATGACCTTTGCTAACTGGGGAAAATGTTCATTTGAAATTTCCTTTGGAAGAACACGTGTTTTGAAAAAAAGACAGCTCTTTTCAAAATGCTTGAATTTTTGTCACATATCATATATAGACTTACTTTACCTTGCAAAGAAATATTCAAGTCATTTTGATTTGACATGATATCACACAGAAATGCTGCATTTCTATAGAAATCTTCTTTCAATAATTCACATTGCAGGTTCTTTCTTTCATAAAATTTAACTATCTTTTCTGCAGAGATAAAATTTTGGCTAACATCTGTTCCTGTGATAACCAACACACTTCAGAATGATATGGCAAATCCGTACTGGATACCTCATTGTTCAACTTTAGCATGTTATGAAACTGAGGATGCCATGTTGCACTTGCAGGAATATATAGTTAACAATTCTTGTAACTTGTTGTGAAGTCTCACTTAAAATAGTAGATTTATCACAGAGATTTTGCTGATGCAAGATACAATGAAAAGAAATGAGAGCATCTGGATCTGTGAATACTTTTTTAACCTGTGAAATAGACCCTTCATGTTTTATTGTCTTGGAAAGTGCACTATCTGTACCTACACTCACTAAATTTACCATAATCAGCCCAACTTCATGACATGTATCTTGAAAGCTGCTATCTATAGAAACTATCTATTCCCCATGTTATGTTTGGAAGAGTGCCCTTTTGCAAAGTGTTTGCAAGTGAGTAACTCTTTGTAGCAAAGAAAATCTTCAGTTATGACCCTAATGAAGTATAAAACCTGCACTTAGTCAGTACTACTAATTGATTCATCCAAAGTGATTGAATAATATATATTTTCCTTTTGAAGTATTGCATAAAGTTGTTCTGTTAAGTTGAAGGCTAATTCATGATGCCAGTCAGTTATGACATCAGTTCTCCTTGAAAGAGGCAGTTATTTGCACTTTGAAACAATATTGGGGTCTAAGCATTCTTACAACTTCGACAATGCATTCTTTCACAATTTCTATATCACTGAATGATTTTCCTTTTTCACAAGTATATAGGTTACTTTATAAGTTGCTTCAGTGACATTATTTCCAGGATTTATTTCTGCTTGAAAGAATTGTTTTTGCCCTTGCTTTTCATCTTTTTAATTTCTGTAATATGACCTTCTGCACCTGTCCCTCTAATTTAAAATGTTTGTGGTCCTTATGAGTGTTATAATGCTGATAAGCATTGAATTTCTTTAATGTTGGTATTGCAGTATCACAAAGCAAGCAAAACATCTTATCTTTAGCAGAAACAAGATAATATTGCAATTCTCAATCCTCATTTAAAAAATCTGTTTTCTTCCTTTAGTGTTATTGGTCTTCTTTGACATCAAGGTCTATTAAGCAGACAGAATTGAAAAATACTGTCAAGCTGTGCAACTATTCACAAATGCTACTTCAAACAGAAACACAGTGCACCATTGTCAAAGCTGTTAACAGACTGGTGTACTCAACCCCCATAAATTCTCACAAATCAGCCTCATACTATAGTGGTACCACTCAGGCAGGGGAAGTTAGAACTGAGTGTAGCAGCCATCAGTTTAGCCTTTATAGCTTACTAATGTTCTAATTGTGTCAGTCAATATGGGAGGGTTATTTCATTGAAACTTATTTTATTCTTTGGCATTTTAAATACCTTCTTTTGAAAAACAAAATATAAATATAAAAGAATAAAAATGTGTTAATATATTAAAATGATTTATTCTGTAAAATTTGGAATCAGTCAAATGGCCACATGTAAGGACCTAGAAGGCCACATGTCCTTTCATTTAATTTCAAAATATTATGGGAGTACAAATGTTTAGGTTACATATATTGCCTTTGCCCTGCTCCAGTCAGAGCTTCAAGCATGCCCATCCCCCAGACAGTGCATACCATACCCTTTAGCTGTGAATTTACCCATCCCCACCTCCCCCTCCCAACTGCCTGTCTCCCAATGAATGTTAGTTACTACCATATGTATATATAAATATTGATCAATTAGTACCAATTTGATAGTGAGTACGAGAATGTAAAAATAAGCACCTCATGTACTCACATGTGTCCTTA